CCTGGCTTTAGCAGCAGCTGTTTGAGTTTTGTCAGGCTCTGCTTCTTGGGTGGTTCCACAAGCATGAGCTCTATCCACTGCTGGTGATGTGAGAGTGCAGCTGTGTGTCACCATTTAATCTGAATTCTTGAGTGTGAGGCTGGAAGAAAAGGAATTGTGCCTCAGGCTGGCTCTGCAACTTTAAAAACAAAAAGCATTTTTAAAATAAAAACACATGTCACTCTGAAGCCCTGGAGAAGAGCTGGAATGAATAGTGGAGTTCAGCAGTTTGACATTAATAAAACCTCATGTATCATTGCAAGTTCTTTTTTAATTTATTTTGTTTCAAGAAAAAAAAATCTGTCCCTTTTGGGTAGGGTGGAAAAGAATACCTGATGAGAGCTCACTTTGGACTTCCAAGTGTTGAAGCTGAAGACAAGGAAGGAAAACCTCCCATTAGTGTCAAGTTTGAGATTCCCTATTTCACCACTTCAGGAATCCAGGTTAGTAGCTGAAAATGGAAATAATGATAAATTCACATGCTGGGTTCTAACACATGAGCTGTTTCTCATCTTCTAGATGTGACTCCTCTTCAAGTTTTACCCATAAAACACATTTTTGACTGAAAAAGGGTGGTTGTTTTGTTCCTTATTTTTTACTAAATGCTGTTTTAAACCAACATGGGGCAGTTTATATCTTACAGATCTTTCTTTCCAGGTTCGTTACTTGAAGATAATTGAGAAAAGTGGCTACCAGGCCCTGCCATGGGTCAGGTACATCACCCAGAATGGAGGTAAGAGAAGGGAGTGTTTTATTTCTCCAGGATACACCTACAAATTGAAACTCATATTCTTGGGTATGAAACTACCTGCACACAGTAGATGAAGATATGCTGCTTTTTCTAGACCCCTTTTTTGGTGTCTTAATGAAAGACTGAAAGACCCAGTAGGATATAAAACAGTAATGCTGTTCAAGTTATTTTCTAATTAGGCTGGAATTTGGTGAGGTAAATTTGAAAACACACACATTCACAATATGCTCACACACAGATTCTGCCAACCTTCAAATGTATCAGACACTGGCTAATAAAATGTACTAGATTTTTAGCAAGTAAAAGTGGTGGGGTTTGGTTTGGTTCTTTTATTGGTTGCTAATTTTTTTTGTTGTTTTGGTTTGTGGTTTTTTGGTGAGTAGGTTGGGTTTTTTTGTTTGTTTGTTTTGTTGCTGTTTTTCTAGTTTGGTTTTTTTTTCTGGCATTTAAGCATGACTGCCCACAGTTACCTTTAACCCTTCAGAGCTCATTCTCATGGCCATTCTAAGCAAAGATCTGGGTTTATTTTGTAGAGTAATTGAATCCCAGAATGGTTTGGGTTGGAAGGGAACTTAAAGCCCATCCAGTGCCACCCCCTGCCATGGGCAGGGACACCTCCCACTAGCCCAGGTTGCTCCAACCTGGCCTTGGACACTTCCAGGGATGGGGCAGCCACAGCTTCTCTGGGCAACCTGTGCCAGGGCCTCCCCCCCCTCCCAGGGAGGAATTCCTTCCCTCAGATCTAATCCAAACCTGCCCCTCCTTCACCTTAAGGCCATTCCCCCTCTCAGTGCTTTATTGATATTTCTATTTTCTTGTATTAAGAAACATTAATATATATTAATATACCAATGCATTTTATCCCAGTTTGCTGCTCTGCTTTCCTACTTTTAATGAGACAAATGACTAAAAGTGGTTTTTTGTTGTTTCTTTCCCCTTCACAGACTACCAGCTCCGAACACAGTAAAACACCTCACAGGCACCACAGCCAACAAAACTTCAGGCCAAGAATTCCTTTGCAGAAGCTTCTGTGGTCCTGAGAGCTGTGAATGTTGTTGCCAAGGGTCTCGTTTCTGCAATCTTGGATTGGCAGGAGAAAAGATTGGAAATTTATTGTTTTCAGTAATGTGTCTGAGCTTTTGAACCATTAGTATTGATTGTGTGAGTATTTATTTCGTTCTTAGGACATGCTGATCTTGCTGCTAAATGCTAATTAACTTTAGGAGTAGCAGTTACCTTGAGGAGCCAGGAATCCAGAAAGAACCTTGAGAATGTCTTGTCGATGCCTTGTCCATTACAGTCACAGAGTATTTGTATTTTAGGGTCTCTAAAGATATTGGCAGAGTTGTGCTACAAATTAGGGAGGTGATTGTGCAATTAAATGACTGCTGAACACTTAGTTGTATTTAGCCCAAGGTATTTATTTTTTTCTGGGCATTTGGGTGCCTTAACTCATTCAAAGCTCTGTTAACTTATAAAAAAAAATTACAGAATATGAGTTGAAATTATCTGAAGTCAAAAAAATACTATTTGCTGGTTTTGCATGGTTTCAAAGGAATTAGTCTGAGGGAACAGCTTCAAGTGAAGGGTTTGGAAACAAAAATAGGGGTTTGTGAAAGTCTGAGTTAACTGAGTACAGGAGGAAATGTCTGTGGGAAGGCCTCTGTGGAAGCAGGGGGGATTGCTGGCTCCAGTCAGGGAAATGCAGATGGAAAAGTTCCCACCCTGGGACACCCCCAGGGCTTGGAAACCCTCTGCCAACTGACCAGTATTTGCTCTTTTTATTTCTGTTCATTAACACAAGTTCCAAACTGTGATGTGTAGGCATAAAGCCTGGGACTAACTGTTAAAAGACCAAAACGATTTTAGAGGTGATGAATTTTGGAGGGAAGATTGGAGGTTTATTATTATTTTTCCAGATAATAGTAATATACTCCCACCTCTTCCTGCAAACTGTTGTTTATGAAGAGGCTAATAAAAACACAGTTGCCATCTTTCTTCCAGCTTGCCTTTGTGTTAATTTAGGGCAAATACTTCCCCTTTTTGCTATAGTTTGCTAGAATTGTTAAACTTTATTTGCCCTAAGGGGAAATACTTTCTTTCTCAGTCTTTTCTGTTTGTAAACAGCTGTTACTGTAACTTCCCAGCAGAATGAATAACAGTTCACAATGTTATTCTTACAGGTATTATTATTTTTTTTTACATGCCAGTTCATTTTTTTTTTCAGAGAAGCTACAATTGGCATGGCTGTACATAGTTATGTGGATTATATTTTTTTTTTCCAGGAGAATTGTGACGGTTATCAGTATTTTCTTTACACAATTTTTAGGATGTTCTGGTTTGAATTTAATGCTCCTGACAGATGCTAAACTTAAACCATCAAAAGCTAAATGTCTGTGTCTGCAGATGTGGTGTGATAACACTGAGTGCAAAGTTCTCCACTGGGGGGGAGAGTCCAGGAGTGTCCACAAAGAGTGAGAAAGTGTTTCAGTCACTGTCCTCACTGAACCCTTGTAGGCTGTAAACAGATATCTCTGTACATACAATTAGCAAAAAATCAGCCAAATTCCCCTGAGCTGCAGCTGCTGGGACATGACAGAACATCTGCCTCAGGAAATCTGATATCTGATGGTGCCTGACAACAACCAGACACCTGATTTTAGGGTGTGGGCAGGTGTATTCTGGAGTAAGGTTACTGTATTTGTCACCCAACAAACTTGATGTTGAAACCAAATCATCTTCTTCAAGCTTTTGGTTCCACTACTCATTTTCATTTGAACAGTTAAGCTTATGGCTGAACTTTAAACATTTTTATATTAAAACTGTAACTAGTTGACAAATCACTTTCTGCTGACTTTATCCTTCAAAGTGTTTGCTTTAATTATGCCTGTAAAATGTGACTCTTCAGAGCTTTGTTTTCCTCTTGAAGGTTGGATCTTGTGGACCAGAACCATGTTTGCTCATATTTTGTTGCAATTTGACTCTGTTTTGATGGTGGGGCATCAGCTGTACTTGTCCAGAAAGTAATAAAGGGCAGAAAGGCCTCTTTGAATCACTTGGTTTGCTCTTTTTTTCTGTTTGATCTACCCTAATGCATCTTAGAGTACCCCCAGTTGTTCTAAAGCAGGACCTGGATGAGTAGAACAGGACTTTATAAAAGCTGCAAGTATTGATATTCCTGATTTGTTCACCAAATACTGACAGAATCTTTGCTTTTCTGTTGTTCTCTGCAAAGTTCACCCAGGTACCACAAAATTGGTGATCAGAAGGCAAAATAACCCCCTCATCATCCATTCATTGTCAAAGTGTGGGTCCCTGTGTCCCCAGAAAGGCAGAAACAAGGAGATGGGCTGTGGCTCCTGCACTTGCTCTCATTCAAGGAGGGAAGGTTTGGATTAGATGTTGGGAAGAAATTCCTCCCTGGGAGGGTGGGGAGGCCCTGGCACAGGTTGCCCAGAGCAGCTGTGGCTGCCCCATCCCTGGAATTGTCCAAGGCCAGGTTGGAGCAACCTGGGACAGTGGGAGGTGTCCCTGCCCATGGCAGGGGGTGGCACTGGATGGGCTTTAAGATCCTTCCAACCCAAACCATTCTATGATTCTAGGAGTAACTTTTTTTTCCCCCCAAAGTTCTGTCCTTGCAGCAACTGCTGAATCTTTTTCTCGGTGACCTGACGTGGAAAAATGTAAATGTGCTGGTTTGCCACCGTGTGACAGGTAAGTGCCAATATAGAAGACTTTTAAAGACAACTTGCATAATTCAGAGTATCTCCTGTGTGTTTCCAGCTTGCTCTGGTTTCCCAGAGTGCTGGCTCAGCATCTTTGGGAGCAGAAAACATTCCTCTCTCCCTCCCCGGGCAGACCTGTCGTCTCATTACGCAGGATTTAATTACTCATTGATTAGATAATTGTCCCTCCAGGTGCGTCAGCGCCGCTCCCCGGCGGAGCAGCTTTACTTCCCGTCGTAGTGCGGGTGTGTAGCTGCTCCCTGGGCTTGCTTAGAATGAGAGGTGGCCCCAAAGCACCGCCAGGGTGCCCCTGCCCTGGCTGCCAGTAGATGGCATTCCCAGCACGCTGCTTCCCGGCGAGGAGCAGGACGAGCCACACGAACGGTATGTACCCAACGCGCCTCGATTTGGAAGGCACAGCTATTTTAGTCACCCCTGAGTGCATTAAAAACCTCCCCGAACCTGTAATTAATTTTTTTTTTTTATTTATTTTTTTTAGCTTTATGCGGTGTGATTTTTTGGAGTTGAGTAACTTTTCTCTATTTCGACAGTTTTTAACACTTCTTATTTCTTTTTCTCTCCTGTGGCTGATACTGGGTCATCCTGTGGAGTGGAGCACCGAGGGAAGGGCTGAGCCACTGCAGCACCACAGGAGCAGCTTCTCGGGGTTGGGCATCAGTGTTGCACATCCCTGGGTCACAAATTCAGGCTCAGCTGGTGGTCTGAAAGCTCCTGTGTGATATAATATAAAAGAAGGAGGAGCTTTTCCCCACACACCCTTGATCCCCTCCAGAGAAAACTGGGTTTGTCTCAATAGAACCTGCCTCCCAATCCCATTAAATGGGTGCATTACAAAATCTTTGGTTCAGCTGGGAGAGTCTCTCACTGGGTGTTTTTTAGCATCTTCCTCCTCTTCCTTCTTGCCATCCTTGCATACCTGAACGCTGTTTGCAGTGCTTACATGTGCCTCCCGACTCTAATCTGAGCTGGTTTTGTCCACAAAACATTCTCACACATGAAGAGAGCTCCACAACCCTTCATCCCGAGCGGGTTTGCCTCTGGCTGGGAGATTGCACCTGTTTATTTCTGACCTTATTCTGTGAAAATAAAAAGGGCTAAACCTTGGCACCTCTGGCCTTATCTTGTGCCAAATGCAGTGTGTTGCAATGCCTTCGGTGCTCTTTTTTTTTTCCTCCTCTGTGGTTGACACCCGCTGCTGTTTGTAATTTCAGCAGCCGTGGCAGGGGGAGGGTCGATGGCCCTGCAGAAAATGGTGCGAGAGAGCAAAGTTGAGGGCCGACCGTGAGTAATCTTAATTGCCGCCGTAATTAATTATGCAACAATGTTATTTGTGCTGCGGGGGAGACGTCGAAACGGAAACGAGCCATCGTCAACCTTCTTTTCCCTGGAATTTCGTGCAATTCAAAGCGTTCTCTGAGTAATGCCCTCCCTGCTCGCAGTTAAAACTCGTTTCTCCTGTAGTTGCAGCCTTGCCTTGACTCAGCGTTTGTGAAAGCACAGTTGCTCACAGCTCACTGCAGGCACAGGCAGGAGGTTCCCTTTTGCAGCTGTGGCACTTTGCCCTCGGTGAATTAGTGAGAGACTTTGGGATCCCCGGCACAGCAAGGACATGGACCTGTTGGAGCAAATCCAGAGGGACCACGAGCGTGATCAGAGGGATGGAGCAGCTCTGCTGTGAGGAAAGGCTGAGGGAATTGGGGTTGTTCAGCCTGGAGAGGCTTTGGGGTGACCCAACTGTGGCCCTTCAGAGCCTGAAGAGAGCCCACAAGAAAGGTGGAGAGAGAATATTTACAAGGGCTTGGAGCAACAGGACAAGGGGGGATGGCTTCAAACTGACAGAGGGTAGGGTTAGATTGGATATTGGGTAGAAATTCCTCCCTCTGAGGGTGGGGAGGCCCTGGCACAGGTTGCCCAGAGAAGCTGTGGCTGCCCCATCTCAGGAAGTGTCCAAGGCTAAGTTGGAGCAGCCTGGGATAGTGGAAGGTGTCCCTGCCCATGGCAGGGGGTGGAACAAAATGGTCTTTAAGATCCCTTCCAACCCAAAGCATTCTGTGATTCCATGGTCCTTCTGCATTTCCTGGGCTGTTCCTGTGATTTCCTGGGCCCTGGCAGTGCAGGGGCTGCGTGTGGATCGTGGTGTGGGCTCTTTGCAGTGTGAGCACTGCTCTGGGCAGCAGCAGGTCTGGCCCTGCTCCTTCACACCGGGTCCTAAAGAGAAAACTGTAATTTATTTATTTTTTTTTTAGAGAGAGGAGTGGTAGCTAAACTTGGATCTGCATTTGTTCTCCTGAAAATTAAGGATTCTTATTTTATCAGGATGCCTTCTGGGCTGAGTTCCCAGGAACGTGGTGCAAAGAGCCATCTGAAACTGAGACCACCCCTAGCCCTGCAAAATCCAGGGCATCACACAGGAGGATTAAAGCCACTTTTCCCACTTCAGCTGTTCTGCTGCTCTGTGGTTGTTGACAGACTCACTGAACCAGACGATCTGGAAAAGTTTGAGCTTAATATCAGAAATTATGCCCAGTTTAACCTTATAACCTCTTCTTCCTCTTCTCCTTCCCCCTCGATGCTACATCTCTTTATGCCCATCTTATCTGGTTGCCTGCCCTGGCAGCTGGAGGAACATTGTAGGTGGAATTACTCTGGGTTGTTCTCAAAAACAAATTATGGGCTAGAACCTGGAGACTCTGAGTTCCTTTGCAGGCTGATGGTCAAATAAATAAGCAGAAACAGGCCTGAATCAAATGATCAGCAACGTGAAGAACAAGACGCTCCCAAAGTCAGCGTGCTGGGCTGCAGCCCGTCCTGGAGAAAGTTTTGTAGGCTTAGTTCAAATCTTGGCTGTGGATTTGTACCTTGGATCAAAGTTTTGTTGCAGGCCCTTCTCCAATATAAAGCAAAGAAACGTAAAACAACAAATATCCAGCGAAATCCAAACACAATCTGCTCTATGTTATGCTACAAAAATGAATGAACTCTGCCTCCCACCCTCTCCCACTGTGACTTGCTGTGAATAAGCACCACTCAAAGGAAACCAGTGCAAGGAGTTCTGCCTCTTTTCAGCAGGAATAACAATGGAGCAAGGAAAAAACGCTGACTAGTTTTATCTCTGCTCTTCCAGTTGGGCAGGTGTAGGTGAAGAGTGATGGGGTGTTTAAAGCAGCATTGAAAGGGCTCACCCTTAGCACAGAACTGGAGCTCAAATATTGAATTATTAGGCTTTAAAAAATGTTCTTCTGGTGAATTAGGAAAAGCTCTTCGTAAGGAACGTTCTATACCCCATTTGAGAATTCCTTAGGCCGTCTGAGGCAGATCCAAAACCCACGGATTTTGAAGGATAGAAGGATGTTTAGGGAAATCAGGCACACTGGCCATATCCATCAGTGTTATTTATGAGTTTTCAAGCCACTGGGTTACAGGTCACTGAGGTACCTGTTGGATCACAGGGCAAGCTCTGCAGAATGACTCCTTACCAACAAACTTGGATAGGGGTTGTAGCTAAATCGGGTCTGTACTTGTTCTCCTGAAAATGCAGGATTCTTGTTTTATTAGATTCCTGTGTTATTGAATTTTGTTAAATATTATTTATTCCTTATCAGCAGACTCTGGATTGCACTGGTGGGAGCCAGGTGTTGAGCCTGTGCTCCAAATCAGAAAGAGGACAAATTTCACTCTGTTTTTTTGCACTTTAAGCCTTAGTTAAAGAACTTGTAGAAGCTGCTGGTTCCTCCCCAGGTTCTGGTGAGGGAGAAATGTGCTCCTGCCCCGGCAGGGAATGAGGGATTCAAGAATCCCACAAAGTCCAGGAGTGAACAGAGTGCTGGATTTCCTGTCACATCAGGATTTAGGGGGGTTTGCCGTGAGGGCTTTGTGGGCTGGCAAATATCCATTGGGTGGTGGGTGTAGGAGATCTCAACAGTGTGTTAGGAACAGACAGTTATTAAGAGGTAACATAATACCCAAATTCAGCTGTGGTTTCGTATTTTCAAGAAGTCCTTCTTTAAAGCTCCTGGAGTGCTGCGTTCCAGGCTGTACCTGTGGCTGTCTGGCCAAGGAATGGGACAAAGCTGCACAGACAGGAAGCATTTGAAGAGATTTCAGTATAAAACGTTGGGGGGAAAAAAGCTTGGGGGGAAAGGACATGAAAGAGGCCTGTTTAGAAATGCCGGCCTTATAAACAAATGGGCTTTTTCATCTCCAAACATAAAAAAGCGGCTTTTTTATGAAAAGGGGTATGTTTAAAACGGACAAAAGAAAATGTTACGGGGTAAAATTCCACCTTTGCGCCGTATTTGTTTGGAAAAGGACTTATCAGTCAAGCAGTGCCCCACAGCAGAGGTAGGAACCCGTTGCTCCTCGAGCTGAGGTCTCATCTACGTCCCAGCCACCTCTAATTACTCCCCGACCCACAGTGAGCACATGGCTGCAGGACCAGTGTTTGTTTTCTTTCTTGCTTATTTATTCAAACAAAAGCACAAGGCAGAGAGGCTTCTACGTGTTGTGAACTCTACGATTGTTCGAGTTTCCAACAGGTCACAAGGGTCCCAGATAACATTAACAAGCAAGTGCTATGTTGTCCTTTTGTGTTATCAACAGGAAACATCTTTACCAGCACAGGAACTACAGCTTTGTAATTGGCCTGGTGCAAGAACATGACAGTATTTTCTCATCCTATCAGGACTCGGATATTTTGGGAGCTGGTATATAAAGCCCGAGGCACACAGTGTCTCTTGGACATTAGGAACAGGTTCATGGCAGAAATCAGTGTGCTTTGCTATTTTAGTAGTTGCTATAGTTGCAGCATGAATGGTTTTTCTTGCCCTGCATGGTTCAGGGTGGTATTTCATTACAGCTCACATGTATATTTTTATTATTTGAGTGCAGATGGACATATTTAAGGGAATTAACGTGGTGATATAAGCCTTGTAAAGAAGCCTTCAGCAAATAAACAACAAATCTATAAATCATATCAATGCAGGCCGTGTTTAGCTTTCATTAAATGCTCACAGACTTCTACGGTGCAGGATTGAGCTCTATCCAAGCAAATTTCAGATTCACCCAATGATAAAATGTTATATTTGGGCTCTGAAATGAGCAGCTGAATGATCTATGTGTTGAACAGAACAGCCCTTCTGCCTCACACAGTTAATGGCAAAAAAAGTGCTGTAACATCTATAACTTGTGTTGAATCAGAGCAAATAATGTTTAAATGGAGCTGTAAAGAGCTGGGCTGGAAGGGGGCCAATCTTGCAATTAATATTCTGTGCAGGATTACACCACTGGCTGATTATAGCAAACCTCCCTCGGCCCATTTGATAAAGCTGGAGTGGCTTTTTCCACAGCTGCCTTCACTGTTTTCATCCAAAGTAACTGTAACTACCAGAAGGAAAAGCTACAACACAACCCCAGCGTGATGGTGGCCCCAAATCTGTCCCAAAAAGTGCAAAATTAGAAATTCTAATAACTTGGGGGTCATTTTGATCCTTCAGAATAATCATTGCTACACGACCCTTACTGCACTATTCAGTGTTGCTTTTATGGAGCTCACACAGCCAGATTTTTTAACTTCCACTCTCATTACGATTTTTCTTAAATATCCCTTGGCAGCAGAAATCAAAATTATTTCTGTATAGCTAACTTTTTGGTAAATATGGGCAAAGGGATCATTTTGTTACTGATAAAACTGACTTCTACAATGAGGAAAGCCAGGATTTTGTTTTCCATTTTATTCTGTAACACACACACTAAAAAAAAAAAAAAAAAAAAAAAAAAAGAAACCAAACTAGCAGTTTGCAGGGTCATTTCAGCACTTGGTTGGTCACAGAAGCTTCATCTGGCACGAGGCAGGTCCCTCACCAATGTCTGTCCCAAAACATCCTGACATCTCCAAGCAAAGCCAGAGCCAGGAGCTGCAGCACTTGGATGGCTCAGGATTGCTGGGCAAAATTTTGTCCCCAAACTTGTCTCCCGTGTATTGTGTCAAATGCCCAAAATATCAGGGGCTGATGATGACAGGAGTTATTTTGGAAGGGGTGACACAGTAAGACTTTTTTCCTCCCTCTTGCTCACT